GACATGCTAATCCAGTCCTCATTTTTCCTCCATTTTCGTCGTCGTCGTCGTCATGGCTCATGGCTCATGGCTCATGGCTCATGGGAATTAATCTCTTGGTCAATCGTGAACGTCTCTTCTCTTGGTCAATCGTGGACCTCACCTTACTGGTGGTGGTCAATTTTGATACAATGGTTGGTTGTTATTGGTAAAACCCTTACAAATTCCATGCTCAATTCAATTCAATTACAACAAATGAGGAAAATTCTTTCTAATACCACCTCCACCTGGGACTGGATTGGAGTATTGTCTTGTCTTGTATACCACTGGACTGGATTGGAGTACAAATTCCATGTAACACCATATATATATATATATATATATATACCGACTATATAATGTAGTACTAGTCAGTCTGTAAGGCAACAAAAAATTTAAAAAATAAATAAATGGAAAAAGAATTGTTAGGCACCGTACTTGTACCAAATACCAGCCAGTTACACTTCCCTGCCCGTTAAAACATAATGAGTATAAAACTTGGGGTGGTATAGAGAGAAGCCAAACTTCATCTTAACACCCCCCTCATAAGCTTACGGTTGTCCATCTTCTTTCAGTTGGTACCAGAAGCCTATGAGGGAGAGAGTTAAGAAAAACCTCAGACGTCTCATATATTAATATAAGCCATGTAATTTGTAAACGTATCACAACACATATATGAATCATATCCCATATATATATAGATACATAAATATCTGTTTGCAGAGCTAGCTAGCTACTAGTACTACCCTAGCTGATGAAGCGAAAACAGAAGAGGGGCCGGAAAAGATGAGGAAGCAATTGATGGTTTATATACTATTGCTGTCAATACAAAATAATGCCAAAAGATTCATGCGTGGTGTGGATTCCGAGCCAATCAAAATTGAGGGCGTTATTCGCAAACCAGCTGAAATTGGCTGAAACCTTCATGGAAAAGTAGGGGACACTTCCTGTCAATTCCCATGTATTATTGGATAAATCATAAATCACACAATATTCCTTTTCTTGTTTGTCTCACTCACACCATAAATCACACAATATTCACACGCATTAGTGATAACACTGTTTTGCTATACTTAACTAATAATGTTACGCCACGTGAAAGTGTTGTTACGCTTGTAAAAGATAGGAAGGATATGGAATGGATATACAAAAATGTTCTCAATTATATATTATATTTTATACACTCACTACCCTAAACCTAAACGCAGTCAATCTCAATCATCCTCTGATATCCTCATCCTCCTAACTACATCCTCATATCCTGAGACGAAAGCCCTCTTCACAATTGAATCATATGACGTATATCTTTCTATTTTATTTCATTTTATTTTTTTACAACTATACAAATAAGTTCATTGAATCGAACAAGTTATATCAGACAACAAATAAGGTAACACACCGCGTACCCCATTGTGCCTATCTCTCTTCTCACACGATGTGCACAAATGGGTATATGCTAAGTTCGACTGGACCCAAGACTTTGATCATTTCACTTAACCAGGCAGACCTAATGGAATAGCTGGAAAAGGCATCCATCATTTTAATGTACACAAACAGGAAAGCATAAACCAAACAGAGAGGAAACCCGCTCTTAAAAGCGAATGAATTACAGAAGCGAAACCCAACAACCATAATACAAAAACAACCAAAATCAGCCTAAGACAAAAGACAAGCAAACAAAGAGGTATTCCACTCTAATACATATAAATCTCAACTAAAAGCTGGAGGACTTCAATAAACAAAGAATCCATCACACAAACTTTCTCATGCAGAGGCACATCGTGACTGTATATATGTACTTGCACATTATATGATAAGGACGATGAGGACGACTACAACCACCACCACAAAAACCGCCACCACCCACCAACACTGCAATACACAAACTTTGCAGATTTTATACAATTCTACAGACGAGTTGATAGGAAATAAAAAATAAGAGATTATTATAATCAACTTCTAAGAGAACATGGTAAGCTCAGCTCTATAACCTACAATTATTGTATTACAGGGTGGCCTTGTTCACAAAACTACCCTAACATGTCCCTCTGCTATTATAATAGACAGTCTTCTTGCCACACTAAACAAAAATGAAAGTTTGTGTTTGCATGTAGATTCCTTTTCTCTTTTCAACCTAACGTCTTCTTTCTGTCCATTATGCATTAACCACTAGGCTTCGCCATACATACAGGAAACCTATCATAGGTAATCCACAGACTAAAAATCGCCAATGTAGTATGTATCACAGTCAAGATGGCATGATGAGAGCGTGCTAATTTCCTTTTGTGATACATGAATTCTCTTACAATTTTTGTTATGGCACATAATTCCTGGGCTCATCTGAAGCCTTTGAGAAAATGCATGCAGATTTTATTTGAATATAGACTGAATTATTGTGATAGATTATCTGACTTCAAACATTTCTTTTTCCTTCACTGAGCGAGCATAAACTGCTAAACACCCTGTATTCAGAATGATGGCTTACCAATAATGTGGCAAGTCAGAAGCTAACTTCAGGTTTTCCACAATTGAATTTGATAGGACGTGAAAGTATACCACTTAGTACTTACCCATGATGATCTGGATTTAACTCCTTTGGAGGCCTTAGCTAGTTGAACTCTTGCTTGGGTCGTTGCAGCAGAAGAGTTGTCAATGTTTGAGTGAATGTCATCTGTAATAATAGAAAATTTACCCGATAAATAAATAAGAGCAAAAAGATCCATGAATGGAAAGTGAACGTGAGCTATACAATGGAAATCAATCATCTGCTGGGTATCTGGATGCTACCAATGACTACACCCTGCTCATGAACGAGAACTGCAAGGTCCTTGAAAATTTCGTTAGCTTGTCCGATTTGTTCTTCTATCTCTCTAATACCTAGTTCCCTCTCCTCAATTATGGCCTCATTGAAAGAAATCTCATTGTCAAGCAAAAGTACTTCCTGCCTGCAGGTGTTTGTTCAAAAACAAGGGTCATTGTAATTCGTCTATGAATATGTCAAACCAATCCATGTGTATATGCATGCGAAGATGCTCAAACTATATATGGCCATTGGGTAGCCGATGTTAAGACTCTCAGTGTACAAGGTTCATGGAAGCAAGTTTAGACTTTCAGCCACTAAAAAGAAATGAGAAAACGATGGCCATGGGATGGGAGCTCCAAGCGGTCCAACAATACAAAAGTTAAATAACCCAATTGAAGAACGCTGGGAACTATTCATCCTTTCTCATAGGATGAAAAGCCAAAAATGGAAGGTGAAGGATGGTTTGGAATTGGCAATGACAGATGAAATAAAACGAAAAGAACAAGCAATGACGATGTGAATGCAGATAGAACATTGATTACCTCTTTTGCTCCTGAAGGAAAGGTTGGCGATGCTGATCCCTGGTGCTGGTAGGTTCCAAATGTTCCTCAGAAGCAGAGGCCGCAGAGCTATAGTAAAAGCGCAAAAAAGAAAAACCAGCCAACAAGGCACGGAGGTAAGTCATACAAAACACAATCAGAAATTAGGAAGGTGAAAAGAAAACAAAGAAGATTGTGTTCCTTCGAAAGCGTAGAAATATATACGTTGCTGCTGCCAATGGCAAGGAAGGCATGTAAGTAGACTCGCGCTCAGAGGCGAGCTGCTGAACTTTCTGGAATTCTTGCAATGTTGTTTGGAAATCCCTTGCAAGCTTGGCATCTTCTATCTGCTTACTGGGCTGAAATTATCAACAAAAAAAAGATGGATTTTTTATTTAGAAAGAAAGAAATGTCAGAAGATGCAGATCAAGATTCAAAAGCAGCGATGAAAGAGAGAGAGAGAGAGAGAGAGAGAGAGAGAGAGAGAGAGAGAAAGACGTACATTGACATTGATGTGGTGATCAGATTCGCTGAGGGCTTTGAGCTTGGCAGACGTATCTTTGACAAGCTCAAGTATGCGTTGCCTTGTGATGTGCCTGCCATTAGATTAGATTACATTAGGCTCATTGTACTCATTAGTAAGTAAAAATCTTGACTTTTTGAGTAGCGAGTGTGTTAGTATAGCAGTCTAACAACAAGACAGTGCCGATGGGAGTTTGAAATTTGTGTGTGGGAGAGACGAGAGAGAGAGAGAGACGCACAGCTTTTGGCGGTGATCGGGAGTGTCCTTGGCAGTGCCGATGGCATCGACCAGTCGACGGAAAGTGGAAACGGCAGTGTTGATCTGGAATATTCCGGCAGCCACGGCCTGCGACGGAGACGCTGATGCCTTCTTTCCCCGTCCTCCGCTATTCTGCACATCTTGAAAGCTCATTTTTTTTTTCCTTTCTTCTTCCTAATTTCTTAATAACATCACACCTTATTTGAGATTGATGGAATAATAAATGGAATTAGACACAGGGAGTGGGATGGGATCTACCACGTCTCTGTATGTATCTGTAAAGCAAGTCTGGTATGGTAGCCGTTCCCAAATTTGTTTAAAGAAACCGATAAGAGTCTGACTGGAGAGAATTGGGCCGACCTTCATGCGGGTCCAGAGAAGTGAGTAGACTGTAGAGCTGCTGCTTCTGTTTTCTTTTTTTTCTTTTTCTTTTTCCTAATAAATAAGTTCCAATTTCAAATTCCTTCCCAAATAAAACTAAAAACTTTAACGCCTAACCAGGCAGCAGCTGTAAAAGGCTGTAACTTGTAAGCCCCCCTTTGCATATAGAAAGAAGAAGAAAAAAAATAGAGCGCTGGCAAATTAATTTGTGTCTTAGTGGTAGGCCTCGTTCTGTAATTTAGGTCCCAGCTGTCAATTTGGGTACCCGCCAGTCAATGAAATAAGAACCCCTACATACAAAGAAAGACTTCCATGAAACAATGATAGTATTATTTTGCTAACGTTATGACATGCGTTATAACACTTTCACATGACATAACATTATTAGTATTCCCGTTGCAACTAAATTTTTCTCCTATGTACAGGCCCATCCAACCCCGAAACCGAAAGAAGAGAAAGATAGTTGATTTTTAGCTCATTTCTTAGGAACCGAGAAAAAATGGGACCCTCACTTTTAAATAATTTGTATGCTGAAACTACACTACCAATACTATACAGTTGACGGCCTTCCTCATGCCTATCTGAATCTTAATGTATGACTGACTTGACTACTTATCTCTTTCAACATTACATGTCAAAAAGCGGGCGTCTTGATTTACAAGCAAGACAGCCAAAGTATTAGACTATTAGTAGGACATACGATCCTTCTTTGCACAAATAGGCTTTGCGTACGCGTATGCGTATGCATGAGAATGGGAATTTCGCTGCCAAATCTGTATCCCTCTTAAAAGGCCACTTGCAGCAGCTATTTCACAAGTAACCTGCCAAGGGAACTCAATCAGAAGCACTGATGATGATTTAAGCAAACGAATTTGAACAGTAGGGTTGAAATACCTCGGATTATTTGCCACTGAACTGCAGTCTTGATCAGAACCTAACCCACCAAAGGAAGAAGGAAAACAGTTGTAATACATTCATTGCTAGCATCAATCTGTGATGACTTACGTGATTCATGCCAGGTCATCTTGGTTTTGCAATATCAGGGAACTACAAGACACGACCTGGAAGCAATAGAAACCGAGACAGATTGTTGGGGCTCATTTTAATACCCAATGCTTATATGCGAGGTTCAAGAGTAGCAAATCCATGATGCAGTACCGTCATTAAAAAGAAATTGGAATTATGACCGCTACACAACTAATACTTTATCAGAGCAGGTAAGGAAGCATGAAGTTCAGCCAAACATTGAAAGATCCAATTTAGGAGTTGTTCTCTCGGTAGCTCTAGGAGAAGTTCGGCCTGCAAGAAAAGAGACAAAGACAGAGAAGAAAAGAAAAACGTGATGATCTGTCGGGGAACCGTGTGTAAAAAGCAATAAAAGTTTCTTTTCCAAAACTTCGTACACCTGTCTAAAACTAAAAGAAAACAAAAAGGAACATAAGGTGATGATATGTTATTACCTTGATCTGATCACCCCCAAAAACCAAAGAATTTCGGTGAACATCAGAAACCATTGAATCTGTAATCAGCTTGAAAACCTTTTTATTCATACTTGTTTTCATAAAAACCATCTTTCCTGAAGCATATATCTTGGTTATTCCAAGATCGGCTGCCATCCTCCTCACATACAGCTTCTTTAAAAGAATCTCCATGGAGGGTGGCTCCTTCCCATATTGGCGGCGCAAATTCTCAGCATATTGCATCAAACTCCAGACATCTTTCTCAGCAGCTTTCTCAGCTTCCTGAATTATCTCCATGGGATTCTCCAGATAATTTATGTACTCAGAAGGGAGATGAGGATTTATATTTATATCAATCTGAAAAGTGCATAAAGAGCACCCATCAAGTCAGTCAACCAACGTTATAATCATAAACAACTATAAATCCATGTTCCCATGTGTACTCTGGACCATTTGTCAATTTTACTTCAAAGAGCCTTAACCAGAGCTACTCATTTCAATCTCTTCTAGGAGTTACAATATGATCTGCTGGAAACTAATCAGCATATATCTTGTTCAAGTGTTTATTTTAAGACGGTACAAAAAGTGATAGTAGAAATACCTCAACAGACCAGTACGGAACTGAAACTACACGGTGTTCATCAACCTGGCATCAAATAAGAACAAGAAGTTTAGAATTAGTAGCACATCAAGTGAAAACTCACATTCCAGACATCAAGTGGGCCTAATGAATAAACAGTTATTACATGTGGGTGTTGTGTGTGCGTGCGTGTGTGTGTGTGTGTGTGTTGTGAGAGAGAGAGAGAGTGAGTGTATTGAACACGTAATCAACAAAGTATACTAACTAGGCCCGTTTCGACATTAGAACTATTTTGAACCATTGACATCTAATACATTTATATTTTATACAGTTAGAGCACAAAAGAGATTGCAAAATACAATAGTTGATTTAATAATATTAGCCAAATTGCATGTAAAAATGGAAGCAAGAAGCTAGAAATGATTCACAAAGGACACGTAACCATGATGCTCCTTTTATTAAAAGTATAACATAAAACAAGTAGGTCATGAACAAGAAAAAACCTTGGACAGGCTCTCAAAGAGCATTTCAAAGAAGAGATCAATGCCAACATTTCCAACATCCCCTGTTTGTTGCTCACCAAAGATGGTACCAAAGCCTCTGATTCCCATGTCCCTCTCTGCAAGTTGGAAACCTTGCCCGAGTTCACAGCATTCCTCAAGAGCTGCAAGTCTCTCCTAGAGCATGACCACAATGAATGATACTTTAAACACTCCGCAGTAAGCACCGACAAGAATATCCAGAACACAGTACCTAATGGTCTTTAAAGAGTATCTAAAATAGCAAGCAATCATGAAAAACACGTGCTACATATCATGAAGGGTAACACAAGCAGATTTAAAGAATATACAAAAGTTATTCTCATGCATTTGAGGATCCATTGACTACTGTAATCAGTAAAAGATTAAAGGTCAAAAAGAAAGAAGTACCAGTGCTTGATCAGTTAGTAGTGACTTCTCCGGGTAAAATAAGTGTGCATGAGCTTCCTTATCTGCCCGCCCTACCCTTCCACGCAACTACTACCATTTAATGAAAAGAAAAAAACAGAGAGAACAAAAAATTAACAGAGTAAGTAAAATGGATAAGGAGTTAGAAAAGCTCAGATACCATTATATTCCCTTGTTTAATACATGAAAGGATTTGAAGTAACCAAGATAACAATTTTAAATGTTAGTCTTCCATATATGTTGCACCATTTGAGAAATATATGAAGAAAGAAGAAAGAACAAGACCTGATACAACTGTGCAAGGCCAAATTGTTGAACATCTTGAATGATGATGGTGTTTGCATTCTGAATGTCAAGCCCACTTTCTACTATATTAGTGCATATAAGAATCTTGATTTCACCTTGTGCAAATTTCTCCATGGTTTCCTCTAGCTGCTTTGAATATTGCTGAAAAGAGATGCAGATAACAGTATAGAATGAAGACAAAGAAAGCCAACTGAGCAGATCCCATCCTAAGCTGTAAAACTTGATGCATATGATATTCTTTTCAGATCCTGATGTATCCTCAATTTTCCTAAGGTTTAAATTTCATCACAAACATTATAAAGTTTAGTTCATAACTCACTTCTCTATGTTAATTCATTATAATGGTTTCACATTAGGCGTCTATATTTGATCTCATAGTAGTTCCCTTTGAGAGATATCAAATGCTAAAGAAAGGAAGAAAGTACCTTCCCGTGTGCAATAGCTATTTCAACATTGGGAAATGACTGTTCAAGAAACTCCATCACTTCTTCAAGTCCTGCAACATAAGAACAGAAGTGAAAACAAAAAACAAAAACCAAAAAATGCTGAGGGAAAACCAGCCTTGCCATTCCTCTAATTAGCTGTTATTCAGTAATGGAATTTCTCTTGTTCTTTTGACATGTAAGCCAAATGAGTCAAAAATCATGAACATGACAATCCTCTTTCACTCTACAGCCTCAAAAAATTGTGATAAATGCATTTGGTCATTAATAGCAATGAAAGAAGCCATACAGAGACTCAACGCATAGTTACTTGACATTTTGTATGAGTAACAGTATACATATAAACCAGTAATCAACGAGGTTACCTTTAATACGAGGCAATACATAAAACACTTGGCCACCTCGGTCCAGCTCATGCTTAATTGCTGATAAAACATTTTCTTTACTGTATGCAGAAAGATGGGATTTGATAGGGACTCTCTCTGGTGGTGGAGTTGAAATCAAACTGAAAGAAAGGAAGGACTCATAGTTACTACAGTATCAGATTAGGGGACTGGTGAGTTATAAGTCACATCATTATGTAATACCTACCGTGGAGTAAACTAAATTTCTCTGTCTCTTTTCCACTGTCTATGATATTGTTAATTTTACCAACCTTTTATTTTACATACAACTCAACAACAAAAAAAGACTTAACCCAACCATTTCAAATTGGATGATTCTCACTAACATATAATAGTCAATGACAGTGATGAAACTGTGACTACTTATAATATTATTCAGAAAATTCTAATAACAGATTCTTACAATTGATCCTGTACAAGTGCAGCATATCGTTATTTAATAGATTGGCTTTTCTATACACACACGCATATATATATATATGTCCCTTAAATAATTTTATTTGATGGATACCCTTTAGGGTCTCCTACGAATATTTTTTCAACGATCCAAACCATCTATTTTTTAAGTCTACATTCATAGATCATCTTGCAAAAAATTAGACAAATCGGAAACCGTTTCGATATCCAATTGTGTCCTACAAAATCAATGAACACAGTACTTCAAGAAAGTACTAAAATTTCAATAACTCAATTGAGTGGTCAAATGATATCGGATTTAAGTGATTTTTTGCAGAGATGATCTTTGAATGATTATCTAAAAAATAGACAGTTTGGATTAGTGAAATACAATGTGGAGTGGGCCCTACAAGGGTGTCCCTCAAATAAGCTTCTTTGAGGGATCCCTCAATGGAAGCTATATGTGTGTGTGTGTGTATAATGTAATTCATTAACAAGCCTTGTTCTGAAATTTCCAAAAAGAAGAATTGAAATGGGCATCTAGATCTAGAGATGTTTATAAGTTCAAAGTCAAGTTCATTACCTAGCATCACGGAAGCCAGTCAAGGCCAAATACAGGGTACGTGGTATAGGTGTTGCCGATAGAGTAAGAACATCCACTGATGTTTTGAATGAAGCAATCTTCTCTTTTTGTTTGACGCCAAACCTCTATAGAGCAGAAAGAAAGTACATGCTTTAAGAGAAAGAAAACTATGTAGGTCACTGTAGGGCAACTAGGAGATAATCTAATCTATTGTAGATAGCAGAAAATAGATTCAATGACAAACCTGCTCTTCATCAACCACAAGCAAACCCAGATTATTATACACAACACGACTTCCAAGAAGTGAGTGAGTCCCAACAATTATGTCCAAATGACCATTTTTAATCATGTCCAAATGCTCCTCTTTCTCTGCTCTAGTCTACATGCCATAATAGTTGTGATCAGTCTCAGACTGAAAAAAAAGTAGCAGTTTGAAACATCTAGGGTGTTTCAGAAACAGAACAAAAAAATATAGTTTGGCTTCAAAATAAGCTAACCAATACCATTCTGAAGTTCAACCAATTATATGATGGTCCTCCGTTGATTTGCAAATTAAAAATTCCGGAATGCATAAGATGTATATCATATGTAAGAAGACTTGGCGTACCTGAAACCTGCTCAGAAGTCCAACCTTGATATTTGGGTAGACAGAAAACCGGTCGGAAATAACATCAAAATGTTGCTTGGCTAAAACAATAGTGGGTGCGAGAACCATAGCTTGTTTCCCTGATGAAACTACACAAAAGATGGCACGCAGGGCAACTTCAGTTTTGCCAAAGCCAACATCTCCACAAATTAAGCGGTCCATTGGGGTTTCTCTCCCTGTCAAATCTTTGTGAACATCAATGAATGCCTGTATAAGGTGCAAGTAAATGTGTAAGAGGAAGAGTCCAGAGAGGGTAGTTGGAGTGATGTACGGTTGGTTGGCAAATGGAAGGGTGACAGCAAAGCAATAAGCAAATAAAAAGGCAGGGTGTGCATTGGTGAGAGTTGAGAGATGAGAGTAGTAAGAGGAAAAACCTGTTTTTGATCAGGGGTGGGCTCATAAGGAAACTGAGAAACAAAGTGAGTCATGGCATTAGTCTCTGGGTAGGGAGGGCGTCTTTGTTTGAGCCTATGTAGATACAACTCCATCAAATCAACAACCATTTTCTGAATGGCAATCTTGCCTTTGGTCTTTCTTTTCTCCCATACACTGGTGTCACTCAATTTGCTCAAAGTGCGGGGCCTTTTGGTTTCGTTTGGGCTGAAAAAAGATGAAAACTTCGATGATAAATTTGATTATATTGTTTTACATATTCCAGTTTGTTTGCTCTTTGTTGAATGAGTAGAAAGAATGAAACGGAAGAAAATAAGGAAACGTACAGACTATAACGATAGAGCAAGCGAGAGGCCTGCTTAACAGGAAGCTTAGCCATGCCATCGGCATACTCAATGAAGACATACTCCGCGGTGGAATTGGAAACGTCGAATTTAATCCCAACGAATCGACCAATGCCGACCTTCTTGTGAACGACGTAGTCCCCAGAACGAAGAGTGTAGGGGTCGACCTTGTAACTAGCATCTCCTCTGAGCTTCTCAAGCCCCCTCTGCTGCTGTTGCTTCACCAACTCTATGTACTTGTCCGCCTCCTCCGACTCCATCACCGTTCTCGTTTCTCTCTTGCTCTGCTCCCGCCTAATCCTCTCGTTTACAATGGATATGGCGTCGCCCTCTGCCTCCACCGCGTCCCTTCGCTTCCCCCCAGCCCCAGATTTCGGTTTCCACTGCGTCTGCGTCGAGCCTCCTCCTCCTCCTTGTTCACTACTTTGGGTGTGGGAGTGGGTGTACACAGCATTGGGCACCCAGCAGCGAACCTGTCCTCTTCTTCTTCCTCTACTTTTGGCATTTTTGTAGGGATGGAGGCTCAAGAAGACTCCCCAGAGCGTGCTCCCGGGACGCGACCTCACCCTAAACCCCGGACTAATTGCAGTTGCCTCTTCCGACCACCTTGAATTTGAAGGGCCAGGGATTGGAAGGAGCAGAGCCATCTCAGACTCCCAGTGGACTGACTGACTGGATAATTAAACAAACAATCAACAACCCAAACTTATCACGTTTGAGGTTTGGAGGGGTTTTACTTTACTTTCACCATTCCTTTTCACTTTTTCTGCTCTCCTTTGTTCACTTGCTTGCCACGGTGATGAGAGCACAGGCGAAGGCTATTTCGTAGATATTCCTCTTTTTTCTTCTTTTTCTAAATCTTATAGCATGAAATGAAGCCTGGAAGCCTGATTAGCCATGTGGAAGATGCGTACCCACCCACCCAACAGATATTTCTAATATGAATATGGGGCTTGGGCCTGCACCGTTGTTCGTATTGGACTGTCCCTTGAGCTTACAACTTACAAGTCGATGCTTCTTTTATCACTTTTCCCTCTTCTTCTTTTTTGAGAGAATAGCAATAGGATTTTATTGATAGGATAAAACGTAACTAGTACAAAAACCGGGCAATGTTGTCGGGGATTAAGCGAGTTTCTCTACACATACGGTCTCAGTCGTCGGTTTAACTGAGTAGTCTTACCTGCTCATCTGCAAGCAGGGGCAGGAACCTACCCACAGGTAGAGTACCCCCCTCCCCCTCCCCCTCCCCCCACACCCCTCGGTCCCCCTAGGATCATACCCGTAAAAACTACTTGTTACAATCCTCAAATAAAACATCAACTAGAAAGTCTGGAGGTTCCTCGAACGAAGAGATGGGTGTTCCAAGGTGTAAAGCAAAGCGAGCAATGCAGTGAGTAGCCTCATTTGCAGTCCGGCGGACATGGGTAAAGCCTTCTCCAGTGATCTGTAACAACAAAACCTTAGAGTCCTCTAAGATAGGGCCAATGAAGGTTCTATCCCAAGATGAGCATCCAAGGGCCGTAACGATCTGGAGAGAATCACTCTCCATTAGTAGTGGACTGAGTTTTTTTCTTCCTTTTTATTTGAATACGAGGTCTAAACTACAAGGAAATGCTTTTGTGAGAGTTTTATTTGTTTTGCTATGACTTGATTTCTCAAGTTTTATCTATTTTTAGTTGTTTTGAATTTACACTCTTAATTGGGATGTCTATGCTAGAGTTTCTTTAATCTTGCTTGATCGTTAGTGGAGGAGCCCTAAATTATCTTAATTTTGATGTTAGATTGCTCCGTTATTGTAATGGCCCTTTATGACTAGGCTTTTTGGCTGAATTATAAATGTAATTCCAGAATTTCTCAACAACAAAAATAAAAACTCCAAGGAAATAGGATTTCTCACACACACATGTGTCATTGTGATTTAAATATGAGACCATTGATATGTAAGTCAATATATTTTTCATTGGGCTAAAGACCTCATTGGCATCAACTGAGTTATTTTAGTTCAATTGAATTTTTGGTCATTCTTCAGTGAACTTTATTACAAATTCTTGAGACTGAATTTCTTAAATTAGATAACCTTTAAATTATTAAACAGACATATTGTGTGTTTGGTGCACAAACTTTATCGTTTCCAATTAAATGCCCCAAGCCAAGCCACACCCATGCATCACATGCGTGGATCACCTTTGAGCTTTCATGATCAACGCATTAATTACATTTAGGAGCACTGATCACTTTGTAATCTTTGAATTTGTATTGAGAAAAAGAAACCCGATACAACTAACAAGAGACACTGAGAAAGAAGAAGAATAAGAAGAAGAAAGTGTTTGATTATTGCAATGTGAATTAATGTCTACAGAACAAACGTTCCGTCCATGAGGCGGTTATTGTATTTGATGCCAGTTAAATATAAGATGAAGAGACAACGATAGAGCTGTGGCCGCCATACTTCCACGAAAGAGCAACGAAAAGCTGTTTGCAGAATTTGGAACTGAGTTCTTGGAATTATTAGGAGAACCTGCAATCAAAGGCAATAACATAAAGCTTAATTATAGCTAAACTACTTGCTCTAGTATGTTGTATTGTACTACATATGATATGAAGAACTCAATTTAGAGTAAGGACGCAGACATAGGTTTAGTCAAATTGGTTAGAACGGATGTACTCCTATTACTCACACCCGAGTTCGAATTATCGCTTGTATAGAATAATTGGGAGTGCTTGTATAGAATAATTTGGAGTAAGGACAAAGAGTTAAAAGAATATTTATATTGATGGTGGTGCTGATTAATCAGAATGACTATTATAATTAATTAATGTTGGTAATGTGGTAATGGATGGTAATGAATGAATTACCATTACTTGAAAGGCAGGCGAGTGGGTTGACACGTTGGCCACATCTTCCTGGCAATTCCTGAGCCTCATTGACATTGATGCCGGCTTGCTCAGCTTCATTGGTGCCTCGGTTGCTTATCATACGACACAAGCATTCAGGATTGGACTTGATCACCCATTTCAGAGGATGGCAACAATTGTCCGGTGGGTGACGGGTTCCATTGAGGTAGTTTAGGCAAGGCGCAAGCCGATTGAGGCAAGACGTGTCGACTTCTTGAGCAGCCAACACTAGTATTCCTTCCTGCGCCACAATGCCGGCAAACACTAGCACCAATAAAGGTGCCGGAACCCCACGGGCACCACCACGGCATGCCCCTGCACCCTTCTTCTTATCCTTGTTGTTGCTGTTATCCATATCTTATTACTTGCTTTTCTAAGTTTCTTTATAGTGCGTACTTGTTGTTGTGTCTATTAACAGCTAGTTGAGTTTGCTATATATAAGCAAGCAAGCAAGCAGCTCTCTAGTCTCTACGTACGTACGTACATACATATACATAGGTGTCTACTACTACTACGTGTGTTTGTGTTTGTGTTTGTGTAGACGGGTGGGTGTACAGATGAGATACAGATGACGACGCTAGCTAGCTTAACTACACCATCGATGATCCATCCCTTCATTCAGTTGGTAATCCAACTTGTGGCTCACTGGTTGACTCTAATTTAATTCTAAATTAAAATTCACTGGCGTGTACGTTGTTACCAAATACACCCACGCTCCTGGCTGAGGCTGACATTTGATGGAAGGCGGTGGTGCTGGTAACTGGCCATTAGATTTAGATATATGCAGGTGAAGCTACTTTTCCAAGTTGGAACAAAAACACAATCCAATTTTCATAAATAAATAATTAAGCTACTTGTTATATTAGCACAAGTAAAATGGGGGGTGAAGGGGTAGAGGGTGAAAAATGATGACAAATTTCACCATCGAATTGAAGTTATGCATGCAGCATGTTGAAAGCCTAAGTGAGTTGCCAAATAATAATGACGACAGATTTCCATGTTATTCATCTATACACGTTACGTTGGAACAAAAGCGCAGGCAGGCAGGCACAGGCTAAGATGCTTCCAAATGAAATTTGCGATGCGACCAAATATTATTTTAGTCCTAGCCTCTGCCTTTTAGCATACTTCTCCCATGAGCTTAGACTAATAAGAGACAGCTCCCTATCCCCTAGAATCTGTAACTAACGAACGAATTCCTTCAAACAATCAGGACTCAGACATAGTATATCATCCCAACTTCGATAAGACTGATGTGAGGAATGTTAAGTGCCACAGCAGGTCCCCTGCAGTTCTTCCTAAGAAATGAATACCCCATATCAATCACAAGCTTCTTCAGATACGATGATGATCTCCTCGCCTTCACATATGAATGCCCCATTATATAAGCCACCCCTGCTTCCTTGGCCTGGATTAAATCCATCAGCTCTTCCCTCACTGCAGGATCCATAACTGGGTTTGAGGGTAGCTGAAACCTTACTTGGCGCCTCCTGATTTGTGGGTTCTCATCATCATACACTGATCCTATACTCTGGAGGGTCAAAGATTTGCTGCTTTGGATGGAGTCACTCACAACCAAAACCTCTTGCTCATTCGCTATTAAGCTCGAACTCGATTGCCCCGTCCTGGAGCTTATCACAGCCATCCTTCCATCAAATGATGCGCTCTCAGAGCTTGAGAACTGTGGTTCCACTGCTTCCATCTGGATGAACTCTGCTATGCTTTGGATGAGCTGGTTCTCAAAGTCTCCATCATCCCGTTGAATGTCCTTGTACCCATACCTGACGATGCACCTATACATACGATAAGGCCTTGGACAAATCCGGCCAATCAGAAATCGCTCTTCAGGTGAAACACTTGGAACTGGAACTGATTTTACACAAACAAAAACCAACACCTTGTGAAATGCAGGAAGATTTGTTACAAAGTGAGAGAATATGGCAGGAACTCCTGTTGCCAACTCTGAGTATATGAGGCCTATCCCAGGCACGCGGACTATACCCAGGCTGGGGCCAAGGCCAAGTAACCATTTTAATGAAACTTTGTTGTGCAGATCATAGTTATACTTCTTTCGCGTACCATAATGCCAGACATACATAACGATCATAAAGATGAATGAGAGAACAAAAGGGACCCATCCTCCCTGAGGCACTTTAATGAGTGCTGCTGATAAGTAGACTCCCTCAATGAACCAGAAGAAAATCAGAAAAACTGCAGCCAGAACCACACTTTTCTGCCAAACAAAGACTATTACAAGTGCCATAAGGAATGTCGTGATAAACATAACCATCATGCAAGCAAGTCCTGAGAACCAAAAGTGAACATTTTGTCATCCTCACTTAATTGTTGAAGGGGGAAGACAGAAAGGAAGGGATTCAAAGAAATAACGTACCATATGCATTTCCAATTAAAGTCGTGTCTTGGAATCCAATAGTTATGGCAAGAGTGAGGATCATAAGTATCCAATTAATTTCTGGGATGTAGATCTGCCCATATATATGTTTTGAGGTGTGGACAACTTTGACTCTGGGGAAGCAACCAAGGGCATGACATTGCTTGATGATGGAGAAAGTAGCGGTTATAACAGCCTGGCTCCCAACAATTGTTGCGAGGGTAGCAACAACAAAGACGGGCCAAAATACAGGATCTGCCAGATAAGGGAGGACAGAAAGCAAAATTACCAACTCAGATATAGAATAAAATTCTGAAAGCAATATTCATAAATGTCAGAATGAACTAACCAGGTATTGAGTCATAGAAACTGTAATGAATGGAGGTGGGATGTTTAGATAGGAAAGCAGCTTGACCCATGTATTGTACTACCAAACAAGGATATATAATGAATGCAAACGCAAGCTGCAAATGCAAGAAAAAACATTCATAATCACTTGCAAAATTCCACAGACCATTAATACATCATAATGAACAAGGCCTACAAAGTTCGAGTGGTTTAGAGTAAATATCCTAAATCTTAGACTTTCCAAATTTCCGAAAATATGAAACTTTTGATTTTGGAAGGGCATGCAAGATTTCCAAAATTTAGAATCGGAACCGGATTGCATTTTGGAATTCCGAAAGTGAAAACTCTTCTGCATACTTTTATTCAATTGAATTCATTCAATAATCAGCCCTACATACCCATAAACCATAATCAACAATGTAGAGCTGAATGTTTTTATTTTGTGTAGAACACAAGAAAAATTATAAACTTACTCTTATCGATAAGGCAGTGAAATGTCCAAGATCTGCAAACATAGCTTCAGTACCTAATAAAACATGGAGATGCCTAACAGTTAGTTTATTTTAAAAGGCAAGCATGCAAGACTCAATATCGAAATTCACGGTTTCGATAACTTCTCGTTCCTGAAGAGCCTAAGATAAAACTCCAATAAAAGGGGTTTCATGAAAATAGTTGCAGCAATACAACAACTAATAATTATATTATGTATATGTAACAATTTTCCCTCAATTTCCAGATTCAGCATACCAGTTATTGAGAGGAGAATCCCACCAAGAGAAATCCAACCATCTTTACCAGTTTCCCGGAAAAACTTGACAATATAGTAGGGCGACAATGCACGAACAATAGCTGGGTTCCAATGTATTGTGTTGTACAGCCCAATGGCAAATATTGATATCAACCAGATTATTACAATAGGTGCAAACAAAAATGCTACTCTGTGGGTGCCACAATGCTGCAGAGCAAACAGGCCAACCAATATGACACAGGCAAGCAAGAGGAGTTCACCTACAGATAATAAATAGCATATCAAAAGTAAAGCGAATAGATGATATGCAGTGAAATATACAAGTATTAATAGGCATCATGAGTTTATACTTTTCATTAAAAAGGAAAAATAAAAAGCAAGGGGTAATAAAGAGAAACTAATTACCATCAGTTAATTTCTCCTCTGTAACTTGTAACCCTGATACTGATGATAAAACTGCAAGTGAAAAAGAAATGCTCAAAGATTTAACTCCTTAATCCATGCAAGTGCGAGAATATGATTAAAAAAATTCAATAATCTGTGTGTTGTCTGGAGAAGATGTTTTCATAATGTAGAGCTTACTGCAAACTTAACAGTATTTGAGCAAGTAAAACAGTCACCATATCAAGAAACAACAGAAAGAATGGAGGATATTGTATTATGAAGTGGCTCTACCAAATGAATTGTCTGAACATATTTCAAACGTGAATTGTATGTAGCAGACAGTAGATGTAAACATCAGGGATCCCACATACAAGACAACTGAGTTAGTATTGTCTCAATTTAATTGGATGTCCACAAGAGGACTAGAAAACTTAGTAACAAATAACATAAGGGTTTTTGTCTTTTCTTTTTATCATCCGTCCCTAGGTTCTGGAAAGGGTAATTAACATTACATAAATACATATTTCTATTCAACATCGACAATTATTGGACAAGAAAATGGCATATGGAGAAACTTTGACTAATATCGGTTTCACAGCACCAACTTTAGTACGGTAGTACCATACCTGAAATTGCTGGAGTGAGCACACCATCTCCTATGACCATGCAAGCTCCTAATAACACCACCACTAGTAGGGCTGTCCGTAACCTTTTATGCTTCTCCAAAAATCTTTTTAATGGGGAAGAGGCTACAACCTGTGATGAGGGACCGTATTTGTAAGCTGTGAGCTCCTCATCAGCCGCTTGTTGGTTGGGAAGTAAACTAAACTTTGCATGGCGGCAAAGCAATGAGTAAAGAGCAAATGTCCCACCTGACATCAATTAGAAATTAGAATGAATATAACCGCGTAGAGACTTGATAAAAAGTAAAGTACGAGAGTTCACACAAAGATTATATTCAAACTCCAAGTCTCACCACACCTTCACCATTATCGTCAGCACTCAATAGGATGAAGACATACTTCAGCAAGGGTATCAGTGTAAGAGTCCAGAAAATTAAGGAAAATGCACCAAATATCACTTCCTCATTATTATGGTTCTGCAACTTCCCTGTGAATGTGCTAGTATAAACATAGAGAGGAGAAGTACTCAGGTCCCCATAAACCACGCCAAGGCTTTGATAAGCAAGTATTAGATTTCTGGAGAGATTCACCCATGAAAGCTGCAAAGCAACAAGAGTTTAATTGGTTAGACTAGCTGGTATCAAATGAATCACATTCCAGCCCAGGGCAGAGGAGAAGAAATCCATATCTAAAATGATTTATGATTAAATCCTTAATTGGAGAACACAAACTATACTCATACGCCTACTAGTTGATATCAAAGTGATTGACTGAGATAGCATTCCATCAGTTTTCCTCCTGTTCAATACTCAATTAGGCATAGACTTGGGCATAGCTATCCACTGATGACAGAAGTTACATGAATAACAAGGCCTATGCTGGTTTACAACTCAGAACAGAGTATATGCTTTACATATATTATTTACTTCAGGTTAAGGCTAGAAAGAAACACCAGTCCATGTCAGGAATGTAAAGCCACTCTACAAGTGCTGCTAGTACAAGCATACAAGAAAGAAGTCGGGGTCAATCATGAGGAATAATAGTTCAAAACACGAACCACGCTAGCTATTCAAGGGGAACAAGAGAGACAGAGAGAGAAGAAGTAACAAGTATGTATGAG